ACTGAAAATAACAAGTTTTGCTTCTTTTCAAACTTTGCAATATAATTCAACAATATGTACAAGAACCCTCACGAGCAAATGATTTTCACTATGGGAAACAGTGACGTAAGGAAAGGGCCTCTTATCATGCTCCTACCACTTGGTATTGGGAATTGTATGCTTAATTGAATACTGAAATGTATGCCGAATTAACATTCGATTTAACATTTATTTCAGTACCTGAGATAAATTTACCAAGTGGTAAGAGAACCTTCTCTACGCCACTTTTTCCCCTAGCGGAAGCCGAGTTCGCTCGCGAGGGTACATTCATACTAGATAATATAACATAAGGAAATAGTACAAATAGTTACAGTTTACCAAGGGTCTTGAGCGAGGGAAAGTGCATTTTTCTAGAGTCATAAAAACCCATGGACTTAAAGGACAGTGACTTGTTCTCTGGGGATGTTTCGAAAGACGGAAGGGGAGTCAACCAGAGTCAACCATGTCAGCCATCTTGGGATGATAAATTAGTAGTGCACTCTGCAGGCGAGTTTAATTATTAATACTAGCGTGGCTTGGCGGCATTTGGCATGCTTTGGAGCACATTTGATTTAGTTATAAATATAATTACAAAAATGTCATCTTGCATTGTCAAAGGATGTACAAATAGGACTTACATGAAAAGTTCGAAACAGGAAAAAGAAGAAACCACGAAAACTACTTTTCATAAGTAAGTAAGAGTAAAGTATGTATATACGATAGAACTTCATTTATCGAAAGGAAATTTTGATGAATATTAGAAGTTCCTGTTTAACGTATATTCAAGTACACGTGCATGCACAAGTATACGCTAACGTGAATTCCTGTTAATCTAACGAACAATGTAGGGGAACACGTGAGCTTCTATTGTACAAGGACTGGATATTTATATAAATGGAGTTTTAATGTGAAGGTTTCAAATGAAAATATTCTTTTATGAAAAAGCAATTTTTTGTATAATGTATTTTTAAGGTTTCCAAAATGTGATATAAAATCTCAATTGTGGCAAAGCAATATTGGGTTACAAAATTCATTACTATCCAAAAACTGTGTGGTATGTTCACTCTATTTTAGAGCTCAAGATTTTGACAGTCTAAACAAAGTAATACTTCAAAAAGTAAACAATCTTATTTTAATAAACTTATTTTGTTTTCTGGTCACTAAATTTATTGTGTTATTATTGACCCTATATATTAAAGCTTCAGAGATGTATATATTATTATAATAAAATATATATATATATATCATTTATAAAAATATTTGTGACTTTATGAAACATATCCTTAATGATAAAATTATAACACCGATTTAGTTAACTTAAAGCATATTTGCCGCAGCATGATCTAGGTAGCAGCACTTTGTTAGCGGCCCATATGACTCAAAAGGAGTACCGCCTCCCCGCGGCCAGAAGTCTACTTTATACACCGTCCTCTAGGTCCATGTAAACATCCCTTTAAATATTCGCAAACGTCACTTCAGACGTCGCTATCTTAACGTAAAGGAGAATCCACATTACCACAAAGCATACACTGTGGAGTCGGCTGTGACGCAATATGAATATAATGTATAATACTTCATTTGTGCTCATAATATTCAGAATTCGTGGTTTATCGGTACCGTCAGGTATTGACACTAAAATAGTACATAAGGAGGCTACGTAGCCCTCCAATCATTGGACAGAAAACAGCATTGGATGATAGGTCTATTTTATACGTAGTCGGTGATAGAAGTCTGTGGACCGCACAATAAGCTGGTAACTTTTGTGTTATACTCTTGGCTATGGCTCCTTCCGTCAAATACGGAAAAGATGCAGTCGCCATTTTGCATTATCGGTTTTTACGTGTGTGTGCATTGCAGTTAGTTGCTACTTCAATTCTTATTACGTAGTCGTGAAACATTATTAATTGGCATAGTTTTGCTGATTTCAAATTGTTGAAGGCCACCAGGAAAGAATGGGACGTAAAAAGAAGAAGCAATCAAGGCCCTGGTGTTGGTATCCTTTTCCAAAACAGCCTTCATTAGAAGATACTTTACGTAACTGTATTTTTAGAACACAAATCGTAGTCATGATTTCTGTTATTTTATAATGGTTGGATTGAAGATAGACTGAAAATATCTTGATATCGTATTATATTTTGTGTTGCCTGTAATTGTTATCGAAGAATATTTTTTTATTCGTGATAAATGTATTGAATAAGTTAAAAAAGTGACTGATTCTTTGAGAAACTATCGTTAGCAACTATACTTAAATGTTGTAATTTGTATGCTATTATAAGAGAGCTCCATTTATAAATCACTTTTCTTTAATCCAAACATTTGTGACCTATATGTTTTTTAAATACTTTATGATCGTTTGAGATGGCCTACTAATATTATTTTGTGAGCTACATATAGGAATGTGAAATTTTTAATGATATTTATGTTTATTATTTATATATATATTTTATACATATTTTGGTATTAATTTTTTTCTTTTTAATGAAAATAATATTTTTAATAAGTCGTTGTAAATGCTTACAAAGTTGTGAACAAGTGAGATCACATTGTATCATTTATAATTTATGTTGTTCTCTAAACTCACTTGCATATGGGAAAGCAATGATTTTAAAAATATAAGTAATTACCTATGTTTCTCAGAATGGGTCATTAGACATAAAGACATTGAGACATTTATTGATAAATATGTTTGTTGTTTAGATATGTAACAATATGTATGTATGTATGTGTACATAAATATCTGTATACATTAAGATGGCCCTTATTTTCCAACATCCAATTTCTTTTGCTCTTACCATTTGATATGGGCCCATTCTATGAAAAGATATATCCTGAAAAAGTTTATTACAAGACTACAAGATCATACAACAGAATGGGTGCTGACCAAGCCTTAAAGTTTTGAATATATCAATGTTTTTGGAGTTTATAAAGAATTTCTTAAAAATGGTAAGTCTTACTGAATTCTGTTTAAATAATATTAAAAGAACATTAAATTTTCTATACTTTCTCTCTATATAACTTTTTTCGTACTATCATCCATTTTTAAGATAATAGCATTTGAATACTAGTAAATTTGCATTATGCATATGTGTAACACTTGGCTAATTTGCACGTCGTGTGGATGACAAGAAATTTCTTGGAAAAATAGTGAGTTCTTTAATTCAACACAATATCTATTTTAAAGAAAAGAATACAAGAGGAGCAATAAACAATATTCTACACAGGTTTATTTACACTAACTTTAATTACTATTTATATTATAATAACTTGTGAGAATGGTTGCATTAATGTATCTTTTCTAGCATCTGAGTAGCAGTGACGATAATCTTGTATAATTTGCAGTTTTTTGTTCCTGGTCTTTTGTTAAATATTTGTTGTAATCAGTCATTAATTTAACTGATCTCTCTGTTATATCATTTACTACCCCTAATTTGTTTACTATTTTACATCTCTGTTTGTTGGCATCTTGTTCCAACTACGTTATGGAATTTTATTTATCTAAAAGAATACAACGTATTCAAAATTCCATATTTATGTTAAATCTCTTGAAAAATAGTTTCGTTTCCAAAGAAACGAAATATTCTAATTCTTTTTCAGTTATTTTATGAGTGTTCTCATTCCTTAATATAAACTTTTTAACTCACTTCTCATTATAATTATTTACAGTATCGTCATTATTTAAGATAGCTATCATTTTTCTTTTATAAACAAAAGATACTTTTTCATTGAAGAAAGCAAATACTACAGCTTGAAATACCAGAACTGATTTTTAAATTTATTAATTGCCACACTAGATATCTGGGGATCAAGAATATTATACTGAGCTAAATACTTGACAAATTTTTAATCTGAATTTGTTGCTTTAAGAGCAAAAGAAGTTCTAAACCAGGCTTTTGCGTAAACTGTCACTATAAATACACAGATATCTGAAATAGATTTAACCATCCTTGTGGTTAGTTGAAATTCAGATCGAAAAAGAAATATTTTTAAACAATATATGGCCTTTGTCATCCATCGCGTGGTGCATTGCTTTTGATTTATGAAAAGAGAAACTCCGCGAGGTGGGGTAAGGGTGTAAAAAAATTAATGGTCATGGCTTCAGAGGGTGAATCCATACCCTTGAATCGATGGACATTTCTAAAAAAGCTTGCCGCAAAATTGTTTATAACATTGAAAATTGATGTTAATTTTTTTTTCTTACATCAACGTATTCTGCGTACTGAGAAGAGAAAGAGTTTGAAGGAAACCATATGTCGCAAATTAATCGTACGGTCAGGAAAAATTGTTAAAGAATTCACAGCGATTTGATTGTGTAGTGTCACACGTAGAGACATGGGCCTACCACTACTCGAACGTATCTACGCAAACGGTGGGGCCTGCCACAGTGGTGTGCGTACCCGTAGTCTAAACTGACACAATACAATGTTTAAAAGGACAGAAGACCTAGCAGGGTGCATTAACGTTTTTAATTTGAAACAAGGTTTTCCTTAGCAAAAATGTTGTCGGAGGCTTTGTTAATGAGATATTAACGAAAAACCCCGTCCAATCATAGCACGAGTCTGCCGGTCGAGTTCCCGCGGTAACGTTAACTACGCGCTGCGATTCATAACCAACGTTACCGCGGGAACTCGGCCGGCAGACTCGCGCTGTGATTAGTCGGGGTTTTTCATTAATATCTCGTTAACAAAGTCTTGGATAACATTTTTGCTAAGGAAAAAGTTGTTTCACCTCACGAGTCTCCCATTTCCAGGTCCTCCAACATTTTTGTTACACCCTGTATATCCCCTGCTACGTATAATTTTTGTCGGCTGCATCGATGGCACTGAGCATTTGACGCGGATTTATAAACGTGTAATTATTGTTTCTTCTATGACGCTCTGTAATACAGAACTATTTGTTACAAATTATTAACAAAGTCACTGGTAAGTAACACACTAATAATAACACGCTATAAAATAACACTAATAACAAAACATCACCACTCTACATTTAATATGATATTATTGTCACTATTATTATTTCGATAAATAATAACAAAATGAAGGAAATACACATATGATTATAGTATGGTCGTAATTATAATAATAATGAATATATCGTAAACTTAAATAAAAAGCAAATACTTCGAGTGAGGCTCGGAGGAAATTGACAGTCGCTTGGAAATGTTCTCGCTCTCGTTGTTAAAACGATTCTGACCTTTCGCAGCTCTTCGAAGTCAGTTACAAATTTTGCATGTCTTTTTCTAGACACTCCTCGTGAGGACAAGAAGGGACAATAAAGAAAGTAACCGTGAGACTAACCCAATGTATTCACTTACTTAAGTCCAGATGTCCGCACGTGCGTTGCAGATGTCAGAAGATCTCTCTGCCTTCTCTATTGTCCATTCCTATCCTTACAGAGGAGTGTCTCTGGAAAATGGTCACGTAAAATTTGTAACAGACTTCGAAGAGCTCCGAAAGGTCAGAATCGTTTTTGCAACGAAAGCGAGAACATTTCCAAGCGATTGTCAATTTCCTTTGAGTCTCACTCGAAGTATTTACCTTTTATTTAAGTTTATCATGTATCCATTATTGTTATAATTGCTAACATAGTAGAATCATTTATTTTTTCTTCATTTTGTTATGATTTTATTGTGGCAATAATATCATATTAAATGTAGAGTGGTGATATTTTATTATTAATGTTATTTAGAGTTATGTTATAGTGTGTTATTAGTGTGTTACTTATCAGTGACTTCATTAATAATGGGTAACAAATAGTTCTGCATTATGGAGTGTCGTAGAAGAAACAATAACACGTTTATAAATGTGCGTCAAATGCTCAGTGCTATCAATGCAGCCTACAAAAATTATACCGTAGCAGGGGATATGCAGGGTGGACCACGCAACTTGTTCACCCTGAATAACTTCTAAAGTATGCATTGTATGAAACAACTTTTTATAAAAAATTTGTATGATTTGTAGGGATTCATCATGTAACGCATATATTTTTTTGTAAGTGAAGGCATTTCGAAGATTTGAAGGTCAACTTGGTTTTTTTTAATGGTATGCTATATTTTTTATGCCAAAATATCAAAGAGCGTTCAATTTTCAGTAAAAAAGTACTGACCTTTATTCACCATAAACCTAATAATTAACGAATAATTTCATTTTATTTCTTGAAAATGGTCTGTGCGTAATATCAAGTAGGAAATTTAATACCAGCAAAGATTTCTATAAGACCGCGGAGTTTACGTGACAATGTTTATAGACATGACCGATTCTGCGTATGGAATCGTAATCGCCTATTTTGTCCATGATTCAGTATTTCAGTTATCATTAGTGTTTATACGTGACTATCTCAGTAAGATAAAAGCAGAAATGAAATTTACTAATTGTGAGACGGCTACGCGCTGCGATTGGTATCCAACGTTACCGCAGGAACTCGGCTGGCAGACTCGCGCCGTGATTGGTCGGGGTTTTTCGTTAATATCTCGTTAACAAAGCCTCAGATAACATTTTTGTTATGGAAAAACTTGTTTCACCTCACGAGTCTTCCATTTCCGGGTCCTCCAACATTTTTGTTAAACCCTGTATAATACATTTTTATATACATGTGCAATCTTCATAAAATAAAAAGTGCAAACAAGTAAAACTGATAAGATTCTAACATGAATTTTAATGTGGTTTATTCTATTATTTTTGCTGTTCTTTTAGGTCTGGAACCAATCTTCTATTTCTACATTGATATAGTATGTTTTTTAAGCGCATTATTCCGGAACGTATCTATCGTGTACAAACAGAATTGGGTGTACACGTTATGATTTCTGTAACTACATGGAGAATGCGAAAAAATGTTTCATATGAAAGTTATTTCATGTTACAAACTGTATATGATGTATAAAAAAATTACATGCACTTTTTGTAACTGTTGTTTACAGTAATTTTAATAATAATGTAATTTTTTTCAAATAAAACTATATACTTTTATTATTGCCATGTTAAGCATTTCAATTAGGGTTTGCAGTCCCGTAAAGTGGGATTCGCGCCATTTTTTGGTCCCACATAGAGGGTGTCCCAAAATAGTTTCGTCTCCCGGTTTACACACTTCAACCGAACATACTGTATGTGTATGGAATAGAATTGTATACAAATCCTCTTTAAATTGTGTAAATTTCCTTAATAAACTTTATAAGGTATTGCAATAGGGAATTTGAAGATGAGAAAATTTTGATTCAGCACCAAAAAGCAAAACACTTCAAATGTCATATTTGTCATAAAAAGCTTTATACGGGACCAGGACTTAGTATACACTGTATGCAGGTAATGAATTTTTTGCTGTAGAATGTAAGTTTATAACAGAATTTGAATTAGTAAATAACTATTGGATTAATTATATTTAGGTACATAAAGAAGCAATAGATAAGGTACCTAATTCATTGCCAAATCGTAGTAATATTGAAATAGAAATTTATGGCATGGAAGGTATACCACCAAATGATGCAAAAGAACATGAAAGGCAAAGGAATGGAGGCAGGCCAGGATCACCGAGTTCTGGTGAAGATGAACCCATTCGTAAAAAAGCAAAGCCAGAGGGTCTATTGGGTTCTGCACCGGGAGCAATGCCTACAGGTTCAAATATGATGCAAGGTGTAATGCCAGGTATGGGAGGTCATCCTGGTATGCCACCAATGGGACAGTTCCCACCACCCATGCACCATATGATGGGACCTATGGGTCCAGTAGGTCCACCTTTCATGGGACCTGGGTATGTATATTTTTTTCTTTCAAAAGCAGAGAGTCTGAAAGAAGAATAACTTTTTTCATAGTAATTAAATGCAAATTAGGTAAATACAATTTTAAAGTTTTTTATCCAATAAGTAGTGTGAGTAAGGAAAAAATAAATAGGAGATATGAGAATATAATGATAAATTTTCTCTTTGTTTGTAGTATGATGCCTGGAATGCCAGGTATGCCTCCAGGTATGCAACCACCAGTATCAGGTGCATCTCTTCCACCATCTCGGCCATTATTTCCAAGCGCTGCAGCTGTTTCAACAGCCGCATCTACAGTTGTCACTTCTCCTCTGGGCACAGATTTTAAACCAATTACGTCAATAGCTGGCGGATCTATAGGACCAGTTAAGCCAACATTCCCTGCGTACAGCATTGCTGATAGTAATACCACCACTAGTAATAACATTGGAAATGATCAAAAAGTAAATCTTATAGCAACTACTAGTGCTGCCATTAAAATTATTCATCCACCAGAGGATTTAAGTCTAGTGAGTTGATAAATCACTATTTTAATGTTTACATAGAACCCAGAAAGTTAAACAAGATAACGTTGTATACTTCAGGAGGAAATTAGAGCAAGACTACCGAAATATCAACGGCGACAAAACGAGGATACACGAACTGTACAGGCTGATGTCAATCAGCAAGCTGCCGTTTTACAACAGCAGCAACAGCAGCAGCAACAACAACAACAGCAGCAGCAGCAGCAACAACAAGCTGCTGCTGCTGCTAACGCAGCTGCTGCATTTCAGGATCAACAACAAAGACAACAAGCTGCATTAAATGCTCTTCAGCAGCAACAGAGGTTTCAGCGACCCCCACAAGCAGTAATGGTTCCTGCATCAGCTGCAATGCCTGTTAGCTCTGTTGCTCTGATGGCACCGCTAATGCGACCTACTATGACTTTAGCTGCACCCGCTCTGATTCACGGAGGTAACATGATGCGACCGCCCCCCATGGGCCTGCCTCCAGGTAAGTCTTTATAATTTTATATGTTCAGTCCCATTCCAATGAGAGGGTATTCCAATATGATCCATTTATCAGTTAGAGGGTCTCAATTACTTGGAATTGTTTTGATACGTCCTCGTCAGTATTTTACTTTCGAATCATTTAGGATATTTCAACGATACGCATCATTTAACTTATTTTTTCTCTCTTAAATGTATCATTATTCAGTTCTCTCTAATTCGACATTTTCATGATTTTATATTTATTTTTTGCTTGAAGGATATAAAAAAGTCAGGCTTAAATTCTTTGGGTTCATACATTCACACATACATGTGTGTAGGTATATAATTTTAGAATGAAAGTGCCAAAATTAGGTAATATATCACATATATGTACATAATGTTTACTTATAGTTGTAATAGTAAAATGATTTTGTTAGATCTAATGTAAAGAGACTTGAATGTTTCCCGATTAAACAGATCGTATTTACGAGTAATAAGTTTACTGAGAAACTTGGCGTTCATATGACGATGTTATAAATATAGAGTTATCATTGAGATAAAAATATTCTTCATCTGAGATTCATAATACCTTTACATATCATCCATCACTAAACAACCTTTGCCTATTCCTATGGCAGTAAGTTGGACTTGTCCAATGGCTAAGAATAACTTATGAATAAATGAATATCAAAAGCTTGAGGCAGGAATCAGTTTTCATAAGATACACGAAAGATATTCCGATTTCGAAATTACAAAAGAAAGAAGGGAAAAAAGATGTATGACTGTTCAGATACTCGCACACTCAAGATTCATCTATATGCCAAAATTTGTGACAGGGTTTATGCCTAACGGTGCGTTTGCAGGGTACCCAGTCACTCCTTGGTATGTATATGCATACAATCCATACCAATATACTAGACAACTGATGAAACAGAGCCCTAATAAACGTGTGTGGAGAAATTAATATTTTCGAAGTTATAAACAATTTTTTGTTTCGGTTAAAGTGGGTGACTTTCTCGCTTCGGGGGCTATCGTACCGTATGGAAACAACGAAGAAAATTGTAACAAAAAAGTTTTGAAAAACCTTGTTTAACCAGGAAAAGAAAAAATGATAAGATAATGCATTGTTTTCATACGGTACGATAGCTCTCGACACGAGAAAGTCGCTCGTTATGAAATAAACAAAAAATTGTTTTTAACTTTAAAAATATTAATTTCTTAAAAATATTAATTTTTCGACCCATGTTTATTAGGACTTTTTTTTCATCATTTAGCAAGTACTACCTATCTTAGAAGTTATGAACTTTTTTCACCCTGTATATACATACATACATACAAACGCACATATATACATACTGTGCAGAGTTGACCAGCTGATGAACAGAAAGAATGTGGATAAGATTGGTCGGAGTGGAAGCGGCACACCTCGTTACACACGCATTTTTGACTCTAGCAAACTATTGGCCAAGGCGCTCACACACAATTGGATCATATACAGTAGATCTCCACGTATCTAAACTCCTCGGGGGACACACAGTTCATATAATCGGGCCGTTCAAATAATAGGGGTCCACCTATTCTCCCCACTCTCCACAACTGTTCGTTCAATTAAGTGGATACAATCACATATTCACATAAATACACATTTTTTCTGCTTGTACCAATTTTGAATACCATGTTTTGAAAATAATCAATTTATTAATTATTTAGTAGATACAAAAATTAGTGCAAAATTAATACAAAAACATTTCTTTTGTTTTTATTCATGCCATTTATTGCCGCTTCCACTTGATATTTCATTATTTCGGGTTCGTTCTTTTTTATATAACACATCGTTGGCTTTGCACTATTATATTCTTTGGATAGAGCAGTTTCCGACTCATCACGCGCATTTCTCTTTTTACTCTTTTAGAGTATGATTCTGTTTTGTTTCTTGCATTCTAAAGACGTTCACATAACTGGAGTGACGCTCGGGCGTCGTTTAGATGATAAGAGTTCGGTAGGAGTTCTGTTGATAGGGTACTCGCTAAAGTTTCGATGAAATAAATGGAGTTCAGATACGCGGAGTTCTACTGTATTGTAGCATCGCTTGATAAGAGAGCGAACAGGACACGTTGAGACCGAGTGAGATAGAGTGATAACAAAGTAATGCCGCATCGTTCTGGAGTATTAACCATTGATCGAGGAGAACGTGATAGGCAGACTTACGTAGAACGAGCGGTGTGGCCCTCTTGCCCCTGTGCCGTCCCGCTTCCCATCTCATCAGCTTTGCACAGTACATACGTACATGACATCTCTGAGGGATTTCTATTTACAAGGGGAACTTACGGGTCGGCTAATCGCTTTTGGAATTACACTATATAGGGTGTTAATTTTAATTCGTGCACCTAAATTATTTCCGCTACTATTGAAAGTAAGAAAACATGACTGAATAGGATATACATGGTTTTAAGGCGTGCATGTGATGGAGATAAAAAAATCCTGTGAAGGTCATTGTAACGGTTTTTTCAAGGTCATCGTATTTTTTTGCATATTAACATGTATTTTATAAGTTCAAAGACCTACACACCATGTCCTTGAAATGACCTTGAGGGCGAAAAAATTAGCTTCAGTTTGAAGAATGCAGAAGTAAACGTAATAAGAAGTATAAAACATTTTATCACTATCAGATGCACGCTTTAAATCCATGTACATCCTGTTTCGTAATTTTTTCTTACTTTCAATAGTAGCGGAATAATTTAGGTGCTCAAATTAAAATTAATACCCGGGTCATTCCACGCGAAATCGAACAGTTTTTGGAGCACCATTTCGGATTTTGTTCAAATTTCGATATATTGTAGTCTTTAGCGATATCTAAACGTATCTCGAAGGATTTTTGAAAATTTTAAAAATCGTTGATTTTACAGCTGTTTGAAATTTAGGGTCAAACTTTTTTCAATAAGTCATAACGATTGAACTAACAAACTGATCGAAATGAGCTTTGCGGGTACTTACAGTGGAGACATAAGAGTACCAAAAAAATTTTTTTAACCATCTCTTTTGCAATTGTTTTAAATAAACGTCCATGTTCTTATACCGGGGAACTATTTAAAAATTTGAAAAAATGAGGATATAGCCTTATTTGTCCTTTTTATGGACATATGTTTAAAAATATGAACACTTTAAAATTGGTCGTATGAAAATTAATTGAAGTGAACACAATGCTTTACGTAAATGAATGACTAAATGCGTACAAAATTTTAAACTAGAATAACTTGAAATTGAAGGCCCATTCTACGGAAACCAATGAGGGTTTTGTAACACTGTATGTGTACTATAACTTGTATATAGTGTCATTCCAAAAGCGATTAGCCGACCTGTAAGTTCTCCTTGTTAGTGAAGACTTGTCTTCGTGATAAGAAGTCCCTCATCTTATGATGAACACAAGTCTTCTGTAGGTGAAAGTCCCTCAGAGATTTCTTGGTGACCTTTGCTTTTTAAATGGAACTATACAGAGTGTCCCAAAATAACTTCGACTCCCGGAAATGAGGGGTTCCTACAATGATCTGAAACAACTGTTTCCTTAACAAAAATGTTATCTGAGGCTTTGTTAACGAGATATTAACGAAAAACCCCGACCAATCAGAGCGCGAGTCTGCCGGCCGAGCTTCCGCGATAACATTGGCTACCAATCGCAGCGCGTAGCCAACGATATCGCGGAACCTCGGCCGGCAGACTCGCGCTCTGGTTGGTCGTGGTTTTTCGATAATATCTCGTTAACAAAGCCTCTGATAACATTTTTGCTACGGAAAAACTTGTTTGAAATCACCTCACGAATCTCCCATTTCCGGGTTCTCCAACATTTTCGTTACACCCTGTATATTTTTGTTTAGCTGTCCGTACAGCCCATTCCAAGATGAATACGTTGATCTATGATATGTTGGTGTTTCACGATGATTCACGATTGTGTTAAAGCAGTGCTGTTAATAGTAGAGGGCTCTCACGTGACTGTTTTCCTTTTTAATAAAGATTGAATTTTGTTTGCGGAATTTGACTTTGTCATCAAAGGAAACCGTTCGTTATGATTCTTTATGCGGCAAGCAATCCATTTAGTATTCGTTAAAGGCGTGTGAGAACCTGAAAATTTCGGGTACCTTAGATCTAATTCACTATGATTTCAATTTTCGCACTTTAATGCAATAATTCTCCTCGAAAGCACCAACTCCACAACTGTAATTGGAAAAAACCCCACATTATTCTGATGTCTGCGATCTGGAAATCTTTCACAGTATAACCGGTGCAGTTGCCCTATAATTTTATTGACATTCCCCCAAAACCAAAATCATATCAATAATTTCGCTAGGTGTACAATCTACTGTCGTAAATTGATTTGTTATCGAAACAAAAAACGTGTGATACTACATAGCCACAACAATACTGATTTCTTCAAACCGATCACGGTGTGATGCCCCAGCATAAATCACTTCATTTGTATAAGTTCGCGTCACGTTTATAACCGTGGCAAAAAAATTTCATGGTGTGAAAAGTCTTGGAGCTGTTCAACGGTGGAAGACTTTAAAGGATCGTAGATAACCATCAGTGACCACGAAAGACCAACACACTATAGGTCAATGTACTCGTCTCGGATTGGGTTGCACACTTAGCTAAACAAAAATATGTAATTCCATTAAAAAAAAAAAGGTCACCTTGAAATTTCTAAGGGACTTCCACCTACAAATAGAGTAAGTTCTGTTTCAAACATTAGTTCCAACAGCGAATAGTAAGGGAGATAATTGCGTTTAAGATATTAAATTGGATCACTCTGTATGTACATAATCAGGTAATAAGTTCTCTCACATACGGTATTGATAATAAACAAGAGTATAACAATGTTTGGGAAAAACAATTTATTGGAACGTATTCTACCATTGTTCACGTAAAGATATTCATATAAATTATTCAAAATGTCCTCCTTTTGCTTTTATACAAGTTCTTAATTTTTGTGATCATTCGTCGATTTGTGATAGAACTTAATAACCGACT